TAATTATAGATTATTTTTTAATATATAGGGTCACTGCGGCAAGCCCAAATCTATTAGTGATTAATAATAAGCTTTTATATTAATTAATATTCTTAGTTGTTTTATGAGGGCCAGTAAATAGGGCCAGGAAAGAAATAGAGCTTTTTAAAACTATTAAGGTGTGATAGGTGAGATCCGTGGATAAACCATGGTGTAATTATATAAGAAGTTTTATGATATTCTGCCTATACTAGGACCATGATATAATTATAAATAAGTATGTCTGTATCCACAATCATATACTTACTAATAATATCCAGATATTAATATACTGCCCGGTCTTGATCTGTACCGGTCAAGATAAGAGAACATGAATCTAAGCAGCTGTCATTATAAGCTTATTCTTATTTATTTTCTTGGATATAAATGTTATAAGAGTCCTAAGAGCACTGCAGCCTGCAAATAATCTGTTTTAATATAATAAAACCATTAACTGTAAACATGAGATCAGTCCTAAGGTCTCTAATGAAATCTAGAAATAATAATTTAAGAAGGTGTTTTTGTCTGAAAGATGCTGTAAGATGCTATAAATAAATAATATAGTTAGGATCTGATGTTCTTAGAGAAAGATCTTAAAGAATTACTAATAAAATCATGTATTTAAATATAAAGTAAGAATATCTAGTAATACAGTACTTTAGCTGCTGTTAACTGGTACAAATAAAAATAGTGAAGTAATATATAATTAAAGTAAATATATCTTGTAACTTATACAGTAAAAAGCTGAATTATTGGTTCTGTATTATTATGATTATATAGAATGATATTAGAATAATAGTTATCTAACTAGTAACACAGTGAATCTTATAATAAATATGTTATTTAATATTAAGAAGATTAGTTAAGTAGCTCAAGTATATGGCTGATAAAGGGAAAACTAGACTAATTAAGGCTAACTTTTCAGCCCGGCGGCCAGCACTGATTAATGATATTATTTTGAAAAGGATAAAGAAGATATTCATTGTAATATATATTATGTAAAGAATAATAGTGATTTGTGATTATAGATCCCAGAGCTGATGTTTATAAATAAATAAGAGATAGTCAGATAATGAGATACTAGGATAGAGAATAAATCTATTTATTTAATAAGGATAAAGATAATCTAGATAAAAATTAATACAGTAAAAACACCGCTAGCAGTAATTACGTAAATAGTTAATATATCTATTCTTGGTTTAAAGAGAAGTTGATAGAAAATAAAACAAGAAGAGCAAGAAAGAATAATAAAGAAGAATCCATATATAAGAAAGTTTTTATAACTTAACAATGATTATAAGTAGGGACTACTGCAATGCGGGTTCTTAAAGTAAAGTATGTCTACAGAATATAATGTTTACATGTAATATATTATAGCAATCCTTAATATTTATAAAGAGTATTTAATAAAGTCTAATATTCCAGATACTAAAACTGTTTAATAATTTAACTTAGAACTCTGCAGTATGCCTAAGCAATTTTTTTAAGTAAAAAAGCATCATGTTAAGACTGTTTAAATAAAGTTATAATAGTAATAGAGGCATAAGAAGAGTCTGTTTAAAAAGGCAGCAGAATTCACTCTTAAATATAATTTTAATATCTTTATGGCTGTCCGCATTTGAAAAACCAGATAAATATATTTTCTTAATTTATTCTCATTAAGTCAGTGGATCAATACTTTGTTTAATCTGGTACTATATACTGAACCGTATATTTCAAGAATATAACTGATATAAATAGGAATTATATTATCCTTCTTTAATCTAGAAGATAATAGAGAATATTATACCCCAGATTAAGTCTTTTTTAAAGTTAGGAGGTACACTAGCTACATCAAAAATAAGAAATGTCTGAAAATGATATAAAATACTTATTGTTAAATGTTATCTTACTGTATTATTTATTTAATTTATAATATAGGTATATCTCTTATATCAGCATGGTTGTATTCGGGCTGCGGTAGAATATGGTTCTAGTTCTTATATTCTGCGGAAACCGCAGTACTAGGTCCCAGGCTATTTATTCTCTATTATAAGATGAAAATCTAATCAGGATTAGATTTATTTATTCTTACTTGTCCGCACAGCATATTCGTACCTATTATTAGTCATGAGAATCACTCTAACATATTTTTCTGCTAGTTGAACTTACCACTTGTCTGTTTCTAGAGGCTTCCTTGGGATATCTCCATGTTTAGGACTCCTATGGATGATGGTGGGGTAAAACCGTAAAAGGATACGATCGATCACGTGACGGGCGAATCGTAGAACATAACCAAAGCTCCTGGAAGTTGAGAACCTTTTCAGTTCTTCTACTAAGAAGTACCACTTCCCATGACAGGTGCAGTAGCTTCAGGTATTAAGAGTCACTATTTATCTTATTAGGGCCGATTAAATCTATAGCCGTAGCATTCAAGCCTAGTTGGTGGACAACTTAAATGTACGGTATTAACTGTTTTCGTGAACATGATATCCCTTCATCAGTCTGGAGTACCTAGGCGGTGGAGTGCTCGGCTAAATTAAACCGGGAATCTGCCCGAAGTATCCGCGGCCCACATAATCACTCGTTGTAGTACTGTACTTCTAGACTCTTTCCCAACACCTCGTCCAACTGCATCCTCTCGCTATATTGACTACAGTACAATCTGAATCTTACATGATCCATTATGTCTGGGGGCTGGTTTTCCCTAGTAGATTACAATTAAACCGGCTGCCTGCCCGATTGGGGACCTAGCTGAAGGAAGGATCCCCACGACCGGGCAAGTCAACCAGGAAGCCACAACTGAAAATTTTGGGAAGGTCTTGCGGTAGGCCTTGCGGCCCATATAATGGCGCTAACTTGTAGGAACCAACACATATCTTTTCAACGCACGATCAATCTCCGAGAAGCCAATGTCATAGGTGTATATCTAATCAGAATGACAAAAGCAATCCCGGAGCTTGCTTTCTGGTATCCAGAACACTAAGTTTTGGATATAATATTAGTAGAACGACAAGAAAGTACCCACGTGTACTCGGGATTATACGTCATGCTTTGATAATAGACATGCATCATTTATAGTTATCTTAAATGGTAAAAGTGCCAAGAAAAGTACCCAGCTGGGTATACCCACGGGGTATACCCACGGGTACTTGAGCTTAATAGCAAATAGTGACGTGGCTCTGATTGAGTCCGCTTCGCGCCCGTGTCGCGCACCCCTCCAGGAGGCCACCCGCTTCGATGCTGAAGCAATTCGGAACATATGCCATGCTATAGTTTCTTGCAGAAGCAGTGTCATCCCCTGCGGTAGATTTCTCTTGCCGAACCGTCTTGCCAAGAATCCACTTAACCACTTTCGTGACAAACCCCACAAAGATCTATATGAGGGTGGCGTATGGTATTGTATCATAATCATAAACTTCATGAGATTGTAAGATTACATGTTTTATATATACAGGTTGTACCTGATGCCACGTCAACTTCCCGGACCCCGCTAAGATGATCCGCCGGGTAGATCATGTCGACCACTCTATCAACCACCATGAAGATGGCACCACAACTTGCACATTCCACCCGGGAGATGATCTTCGATATGATAGTGAGCAACGAGCTCACCGCATCACAAATGGCCGAGGTTGCTGACTGTAACGCGCGAACTATTAGAAGGCATCGTTCTAATGTTCGAATGTTTGGCAGTGTGACGGCACCACAAAACAAAGAGGGACGGCCAAGAAGCCTCACACCTCTTATGATCCAGGTTCTTTGCGACCATCTACTCGAGAAGCCGCATCTATATCTCGATGAAATGGCTGTATTTTTGTGGGATGAATTTCAAGTGCTAGTAACCATATGGAGCATCCGTCATGCGCTTAAGCACGAGGGGTAGACAAAGAAAGCAGCTAAGCAGAAGGCCAGGGAACGCAACGCAGAACTACAAGATGCTTATGTCCATTATATATCGGATTTCTCCTCCTATCATCTTGTTTATGTGGATGAATCAGGGTGTGATAAGCGAATAGACTTCCGGAAAACAGACTGGTCCCCCCGTGGCACCACTCCTTCTCAAATCACCAAGTTCCATCGTGACCAGCGGTATCAGATACTCCCAGCATACATCCAGGATGGAATTGTCTTATCCCGTGTCTATCAAGGTTCGACAGCCTCTGCCGTCTTCGAAGACTTTATTGAAGAGTTACTGCATCACTGTGGAAAATTACCGGAGCCAGAATCCGTACTTATCATGGATAATGCCTCTTTTCACCACTCGGAAAGGGTGGAACAATTGTGTTTACAAGCAGGGATCAAGCTAGTATATTTACCTCCGTACTCGCCAGATTTAAACCCTATTGAAGAGCTCTTCACTAAGACTAAAGCTTTTATCCGGCGGCACTGGCACTCTTATGAAGAAAACCCCGATCAAGGCTTCGTTCGGTACGTTTCTTGACTGGTGTGTCAATACTGTGGGTGGAAGAAAGCACAGCGCAGAGGGGCATTTTCGGAACTCGGGCTTAACTATCGAATATATATAAGCTCACTTCTGTGTAATAGTGCAGTATTGTACAGTGAAGACCGAAATCTCTTTGCATGCCAAATACACAGAGTTGTGTCCAACGCCTAGTCATATGATGCGTCCAACTAAATATCGATAACCTGTAATTATACTGTTTTGTCTTTAACACATAGCAATACCGTAGCTTGTATAATTCTCGCATGGAGGACATCCGAATCGGTAAAGACATCCCTCAAAGCTTCTTGCGGCTAGTTAACGCTGGGAGCCAGCTAGAACCCAGGGAATCCCTGATGCTATCCGGAATCAAGAATAATACGTTCTTTACTGTCTGATAGCACAAACTCCACTACTTGCTTCTCAATATATGTCCAACCTCGTACTGTATTGTTGGATAACGAATGTTCTTAGAAAGAGTCAAGTGGAACGGACTTTTGACATGTTATACTATGCAATTTACTTAACACGTGAGGCACCACATATCACCAATTGTCTTCCAGATTCTTCTCGATAATGGTGTTCCAGTTTTCCTGAAGTGCCTCACACTCACTACTGTCATAACCATCAAGATAGTCCCACTTCTCCGCTTCTACCATCTTCCGATTGTTCCTGTTTACTCAATATTAGCCAACTCTCTAATACTCGCGTAATCCCATTGAGAATACCGCATTTTACTTGTTCTGGATCAAATCTCTCAACAATAGCGCCTGGCGGAACATTATGAAGGCATAGATATGTGCCACCGATGTGCTGGTTCGCCCTATCAGGTATCTCCTATCCAAGGCATTCTACTAAATCCTTCAGCCTGAAGAAGCAAGCATCGTCTAAGCGATCTGTATCAATAACGTATAGGGCCCAATCACTGCAAGAGAGATACGTCGCCGTGCCACGCCAGGGCTGTTTTAGCCCCCAGTTCTCCGCATGCTCGCGGTCGGAGAAGAGGCTGATGAATGGCACAGGATCCCTACAACTCCATGTGAATTGTTTCACGATATCTCTTTTGAAGATGGCATCAGCTTGGTCCTCATAGGTCTTCCTTCGATCCGCAGCCATAAAGCCCTCGCTCCGCGTGTAGCTTGTTCGGCTACCGGGATAATCAATCCGATACAAGCGTGAGGGCAAGTATTTGTTTGATAGACAGTACTCCATAATTCGAAAGTGAGGAGGAAACTAAATCAAACGACTGTCGCTTGAACGCATTTGAGACGACGAAAAGCATGGGATAATGGCTACGTCACCTCACCTCAAATCGCCACCATCATCGAACCAGGAAGCAGCATGCTAAATAATAACTGTGCTGCTGACGGATTCCCTGGAAGCATAGACAGGCCCCGTACACTTGTCCCCGTGCAGGACGTAATTTAAATGTAGTTCTAGATCAAACTATATCGAGTTCGCGATAGGGGATATTGTGGCATTACGCATCAACCTTTGTCAATCAGTGACCGTGAGAAGCTTGGTCCTTGACAGCTTGTTCAGCATAACCCTGCTCACGGTATTATTGGTGCCTTAAGGTCGTAATCTGCCAGTCATGCTTCGAACACGGTCCACGATCTCATACTCCGGAACATTTGGATTGTCATCACTGGCGGAGAACCCTGCGGGTAATGCAACTAAGACCGAGTCCCGATGGTTAAACGAGAAGGGATAACATGAAATCGCAATACAAGACAGACTGTGAAGTACGTAACAAATGCATGCAACATTGAACGAACACTTGCATCTTGAGGTTTCTCTAAACATTCAAAGCCCAATCATCATCCTCCGCTGCAAGCATACCGATGTACCATAACGCAAGAAGCACAGATAACTGTCCTGCACCTCCCGTCGTCCACCCGATCGCTGTGGAGACAGCCAAGCTGCCGTTTCTGTCTAGCCGCTTGACAGCAACAAGCTCCTTGTTTGTTAGGATGAACCCATACTTGGCGGTATGCTGATCCATGTAGAAATTAACCTGAGCCAAAGCTTGCTTATATTCTCGCTTCTGGATCGGGTCTGAAGAGCTTTTCCAGGAAGACTGCCATTTCCAAGATACTTTCAGATCACCTGGTGCTCGATTAGAGCTCGAGACTTCGCTTGCGATTACGACATATGCAGTATCAGGTCGAAACTGATCGATAAGAGCAGCTGAGCTTCCTACATCAAACGTAACTGGTGAAAGCCGGCGTGCCGGGAGCTCTGGTGCGAGTTGCTCAAATCCAGCACGTAGCGCACGTCTAACACGAGGCTGAACCAACTCTGAGAACCGGGAATGGAAGTGGGGTTCGTCGTTTATCGAGGCAGGAGGAGATTCGATTGGATCGCGGCGGATCCGCTTTGAATTTAACATGGTACCATAGCGTTGAGTAATCGTAGAGTAGTTGAAATCTGTCCAATCAACAACGCTCCTGATATCATCTGCACCATAACGGGGATTTGTGGTGTTGCGAGACGGTGTAGTGCGACCGACTCGTATTGCTGGAAGGGCAATGGAAAGGTACTCCAGTAGAGTTTGGCTCATTTTGCTGGTTGAGAGCTGCACTGGGGCGATTCAAGAACGGCGCGGCGATTCCACGGTTGAGGTACTGAAGTGCGGGGTTCGATATCGGTTATCGGATATTAGTAGATCCGGAGGTCCAAGCCAGTCGGACTGTCGATCGGCATCAGGTGACCGGTGTAATCACATGACCTGATAAATAATCTCCTGTCGTGCGAAACTCCATGAGTATATCGTCCCCTGAAACAGTCATCCCTGTCCAAGGTACAAGTACAATCACCATGCGCTTGGCAAACGATCGCCCGTTGAGTCCTGAGCCTTCAAAGATACAACTAGAAAGGGAAATTGCAGTCTCCCCATCTTCCTCAATTTTTGAGATAAAAATGGACGGTGAAACGTACGCTATGAAGCTTGTAAGTCGACGAGCTTTTCCCACTTTACCGTCGCTGATAGCTTAGTATCACGATAATGGGGACCCTGGATGGACGGACAAGGGCCGAGACTTGAATCGATATCGCTGTGAGCTAAAAGCTTACAAGAATCTACTTAAACATGGCGTGTGTGACAGCGGCTTTGTTCCATATTTCTATGGTCATATCGATTGGCTCGACCCAGCTGCATTTCAGCCATTTCTGCGGGATTTCGTTCGTGATAAATTGCACCCTAGTGCAATTATCCTTGAGTATCTTCCAGCCGCTGAAAGCCTGAACTGTGTTAATTATTCAGAGTCCCTCTATAACACGGCCATCGAAGGTATGAAGCAGATACATAATGCTCATGTTCACCACAGGGATATCTACCCCAAGAATATTCTTCTAGTACCGGGAGGAAGTGACAAGAGACTGGTGTGGGTTGACTTCGATGTTGCAACGACATTCAACGACGTTGGACCTGAGGAAGAAAAGTACAGTCGATATGAAGATGAACTTGTCGCCAGCTTCGGCGAAGCCTTGGTTTGTCCCCCTGAATTTTGTTTGAGACTGCAGGATCTGACATTACTGTTTTCTAGCGGGAGGACCAAAGACAAGGTCTTCCTCCCAATACAAAATTCTATTGATTGTGGCTTCCGGCGCTTTGGGTGTTTCATCTCGGTATTACGAATTTGCTTTGCTGGTAGTATAATAAGATTTACAGCTTCTGTTCTAATACTTTCCTCTCACAAAGTCTTCTTCGAACGGCTCGGCATTGGTCGCCATTTTCAGCCATCGGGAATTCTTACTAGACCAGCAACGCGCAACCCAGCTATCTAATACAGCATCCTAGACATCTTAGATAATGCTTCATCTGTCCAATGTTTCCTGGTTTACTCGAAGCAGTGGTAAAGTCCAAATTTGCGGAAACGGCTGCGGTCTGTTACATATTTACTGTATTGTGAGCTACAAAGAGTCTGCGAAAAGGACGGGGTTAAGCATGTATGAAATCAGAGTTGTTCCTTTGTATCTAGTTTAGGCCCTATCAAATGATCACAAAGCGCATACTCGTCTCTATTTCAGACAATGAAGTGGTGACTTCTTGACTAGTTGCAGCATCATTCTTATTCTTGGTGTATAAGGTGGGATAGTCTTGTTGGCGCATGTGTGGTATTGCGACGTGGGCTGTTTCGTGGAGAATGGCAGAGTACTGTTCGGAATGATTAGGTGGCAGCTTTGAGCAATTATCGGTATTGGAGATCTGTAAGAATTGTATTACCTTGAAGTATGCAAGTACGTAACAAAATATGAGTATAACACTTCATTCTACTTAGTTACTATGCGCGACAAACGCTTACTAATCAATAATGATTCCCCAATCGTCATCCTCTTTCACCGCCTTCGCTTTACGCTGGCTAAGCCACTTGCCGGTATCGCTGACAAATCTGTAGGCAACCCCGATTTTGACGCCTTCTTTCACGAAAAACTCAGCGCCAATCTTAGCATTGTGGAGCTGGCCAAGGTCAAGACAGTTGTCGAGCACTATATCTCGTGCTCTTCGGATGTTCTCCTTGAAGTTCTCGGTGCTGACTTTCGCCAGGTGCCAATTGGTGTATTCTTCCACTGCCTCTTCAATTGGACCGGGGATGTCTAGGTCAGCTTGGCCAGAAGCGGTCGTCTCCGTACGATCACGGACAGTATCTTGCGACTGAAACGATTGGGTTGGGGCAACGTTGATGTTGATTGGGGGATACATCGATCCAATAGTGGGGCCAGAGGTTTTCTGTCGTTTATCTATTCGGTGCTGCTCTTCCGCGTATAGTTGGTCCCCAATCATATCAGGAACGTCATCATGAGATTCCAATATACCACCTTGCTCAACGTACTTGACCAAGGCCTTCATATGATGGGTTCTCAATCTATAGTGCTTTTTCCCTACCGGATCCAGCCAACAGTACTGTCCTTCATGGTGACAAGGTGGCCTAGGGCAGCGCATTCTTTTATATACGTCACGCCAGATTGGCGGTTGTCCCGACAAGTCCTCGGCGACCACTTGGTGGTGAAGGTCACGAAGCATTCCGTTGGTTGTAGACGAGTTCCCTCTCTTGTCAGTCCTTGTGGAAGATGAGGCGCTGTCCTCTATAAAATTAATAGAGATTGAAAGCCTGAGCTTCTTGCCTTGACGGCAAAGATTTTTCCATTGTAGAAGCTGCATCTCTATCGGGGTCCAATCAATATCTGTGCCTTCAAAGTGCTTAGTAAGATCGCGCTGTGAACGCTCATTTACAGCAACAATAACGATCGTATCATCTGACCGTACTCGATGGTTGCGAGATTTCTTTCGTTAAACAATACGTTCAGCTTTCTCTTTGATCCGTTGCCAGTATATACTAGGCCGGTGGACCAGATCTTGCTCCGTGTCTTTCGCTAGAAAGCGATTATTGAGTGTCACTTTCCACTCGATGAGGTACTTTATGTTACCAGAAGAATCCCCGTCATGAGTTCCTTGCCGGTTGAATTCGGTATCCTCAAGGAAACCCAGACGGTCTGATGCGGGTCGATGCGAGGATGAAGATGGGTCATCGTAGGTGTAGGTAGGAGAGGGGCAAAATACAGAGGGCGTTCGCTCGCGGCCGAAATAACCAGGGGTGAGGGCATATGATGGAGTTTGATCCCATCTGGTCACTTGAGTGGCAATGTTGTTATTCAGAGGGCAAGGGCTCATATCCTCCAGGCATAATATGCCACCAAGGATCCTAAGTCGACAACATCTAAGGTTAGCTTTCAAACGTGGGATCACGTCCAACAGAGGATACTGATTCCTAACAAGCCGAGTAGTATAATAAGCAGGGCCATAGCGTTACAGTATACTTGCTCGGGTAGCTCTGCGTTTCACGCAGCCCTGCCATGTGCAGTTTACGCCAGGGGAAGATAGGAACAGAAATGGTGTTGACGGTTTACACTGGCACAGTACTTTGCATTGGACGGTTCCGCGCTAGTTACTGTGTAAGCTTCTAGTCTGCAAGTCAGGCGTATTGTCCTATACAGCAAATTAATATGACGTCATTTATGATATAGTATTGTTTAATACAAGGTGAATATTCGAAACTTGTGATTTTCCTGGACTTTCCTATTTCGTATTAGCCTGTTCTTGGCAGACGGTAAGAGAGAGAGTAAAACAATCTTAAGGGATGACACTAGTTTTGCAAACAACCGTACCAAAACAACGTCAATCATCTCAATTTCGGGTGGCTCCTAAATTTCTACAAGTTGTGGTTGGACAACTTCGGATTTTTTGAACACAATACAAGACTCGTAGATGGAAATAGAGCCCAAGCCAATAATCACCCTAAATTAGAGTCTAATCCAACTTACCCCAGTTCTTACATGAAGCGTAAAAGCCATACAGAATTCTAAACACTTCGTTCATGGGTGACTCAGGCACATGCCATACAGATGGGCAATCTGTCAACATCTGAACGTGTTCACCTAAATCTAGCGCTGCCGAACTATCTACACCCAACACGGAAGGGCCGCGTATTAGAGAACAGGCTACGAAAGCTTAAAATAGGAAAAGCTTGCTGGAGGCCAAATTATGTGTAGAAGTGTCTGGGAGGCGTTGCTAGCTATTTATTGAGCATGTGAACGTCTAGAACCCTGCTTTCGCCGAGCCAAAGGAATAATGATTTTCCTACCCAGTAAGGGTCGATCGTGACGTACGGAAGGTCGATTTACGGTTGTGCTGAAACAATTGGAGCTGATCGAACTTTGTTACCCTCGCGTTCGTCAACACCGTCAATCAAATGTAATGCATTTCCATCAGTAGGCAAGGCTCTGCAATCGGGAAGATCACTGAGGTCGATACCCAGGCTGGGGGCAATACGCTGCAGAACACTATTGCACTGCCGGAGCGCGCGTCCGGGGGCAGCATATGTGTATGCCATGTGGTGGAGCCAGCGCATGGCCTTTTTAATCTCCCTGACCGTGATCTCCAGATCGGAGAAGACATGATGAGCGGGGTGTTCACTGGGCCCGGGTGGCCAGCTGGAAAGGTGACGAAAAAATAGTTGTTGTCGCTTGCATGATGTAATGGAGGATGCACCACCAAGGAGTCATTGCAATGATCCCACCGGTCCGGGGCCTGTAACTGCGAGTCCGGCTGGAACAGCTCCTTGATGCCGGGCGGCACATCGTCAGACTGCTGCACCCGATTGCCCTGGTTGCGTGATCGCGCTGCCAGCTTGAAGAAGTGAAAGAGGTGCCGTCCTAGCTGGGAGCGGCAGGCGATGATGGACAGGGCGCTGGTTAGTGTCAGGAAGTCCCGGTCGAGGATGTCGAATGTGTCCTGATCGAGCAGGGTAAACAGCGCCAGGTTGACAGCTTACATGGCGAACTGGTGGGCATGCTCCATTCTGTACTCCACCCGCAGCTATTGTGAGACCACAGCGATGGCCCGCGCCAACGAGACAGCAATTTCCACGGCGCTGAACCCTTTGGTTTGTCGGGGAGTGCGCTCGTCATGCTCAGACAGTAATGGGTGGACTCCGAACCGATTGTAACAGAGGTTAATGACCAGCGTGTGGTGGCGCATTCTATGCCACAAGGACTCGTTAGCTAGCTATACAGCCACCTTTCCCTCCTATCTTGAGGGGAGAGAACACCACCGAAGTAAAAGCAGATGCGGGGCGGGCTGCGTCGCCGGATTGAAGCATTCAGAGAGACTGCTCTCACATGCACAGAGATGGTTGTAGAGTTCCTGCTTATACTGATCAGGCTCCAAGCCTGAGTCTGTGTGAGACAGACACTAGGAAATGTCCTGCGCGATGAACGAGAGCTTGTATATCTTATTAAAGTATTGATTCAAGTATGACGGCCAGGAGGCTTGGGAGATGGAGTATGGTATCTATATATTACTCACGTTTATACTATTTTAGTTTATGGGCTCTACACCCAGAGCTTACTCGGCTTGGATAGAAGAAATTGGTGTATATGATTGTCAATGCGAGTAATCAGCTTAATCCTTGTAAGATAGTATTATTGAGAAAATAAGAAGAAATATATAAATTATCTGAAATAAATCTATATTATATACTTAATATAGACAATCATACTTAAAGATATTTACAATATTGAGAATCATAAGTTAGTCTTTTTGCTTATGATCTTCAGTAACTCTTATCTCAATGGTGTAATGTAGTATAGTATATCCATAATCATTATAGCCTGATAAGGAGTATCTGGTAAATTAATAACATAACCTGGTCTCTCTAGTTAATATATCAGGGCGCCTGCCGCCCAGGTGAGTATCAGTATATCTCTTATACAGTAATAGATATTCTTATAAAGACACTAAGCAGATATTACCTCCTTTCTCAGACTGATATGATTATAGATGACATTCTACCTTGGCCAGAAAATCGGCTCCTTTCATGCAGACATTTCTGGAGACTATATAGACTTTAATATATTATAAGTAATAACTAAATTGACCTTAGAAGGTGCATGGTCAGTAAACAAGCCTTAAGACCAGCCTAAGAGGGCAGACCGGACTTATACATGCATTAGCCAGCAGAGCGTTAACAAGGAACGAGCTGTAAAAGTCGGACCCGGTAATCCCCAGCCATGTGTTTAACAGAGTTATGGCTGTTGAGAAAATTAAAAAAGAAGTAGTCTGAGATAAGGTAGAGAGAGACCGAGTATGATACCAAAATTGTTATTATCGGTGACGGCAGTCCATGATTTAACAGGGATGTGGTAAGAGCCACTGGCACAAGTGCCGGATGCCCATGATCTATGGGTAAAAGCATGATGGTTTACTTTTAACCTTAATACCACAATACAGGCTCTCCAGGTGCTGCTGAGCAGGGGGCTGGGCCTCAGCCAAGGCGCGAGTGAGGTAGGCACGGACCTCATCCAGCGAGGCATGGTTGCGGATCAACGCCACTAGGTGCTGGGCATGGTCTGGTCCTTATAATAGTTACTCGGACTGGTGGCGTATTCGGCCGCGGCTTGGAGGCGATCCGCCTCGGCCGGCGCAGTCGACGGCCTGAATTATTAACCCGGGGTTCCCAATGGTGCATACACTACTACAGATAGGCGACTCTGTATGGGGCGGGGAAGGGGGAGAAGGGAGGGGGCGTGGCTGGGAACAGAGCCCCTACTTCGGATTTCTTTCTCCGCGTGGGCATGGCACAACACCGGGGGTGTTGTTGGTGATGGTTGGCTTAGATGGAGCTAGAAAAGGGATCAAGATGAAAAAATGTTTGAGAAGGGGCCATGGAGGACATAGTTGGCAATCCAGTCTGGTCCATAATACTGTAGCCCTCTGTTTCCGATGGTCGTCAGTCCATGATACCAGGAGATGAAAGCAAACACGAAACTCAGGCGGGAAAGAAGACAGGGGAGAGAGAGAGGAAGAGAAGAAGAGGGTATGCTGAGATAAGCAACTGCGGGGACGCTGCCGCCGCACCACAGCCATTTCACGCCGATTGATCCCAAGTGGGAGTAGGCTAACTATAAACTATCTTTATGAATAAATAATGCTTAAGTAGCCTGCGTTGGACGGACATGCTGTTCCACCACTCCATCTTCTGCTCTAAGGATGAGACGACGGATATAAAGGGGACCTCAACGCAGCTGAGCCTACCCGATAGCACCTGTTGCAGAATGTTTCACGACGCTGGGTATAAGACACAGCATTTGGTGCTCTCTATCTGGCCTCGCCGTACTAATAAAAGTAGACAGAGCACAACATAATTATCAGTCTTATACTTTATAAGAATCCATCAATAACTACAACAATACGCAATATAAGCAGGTAGGCATGGACATCAAGTATTATTCCTTAATTTAATCTGGGTATAAGATTATTGAGCTATAAGCCATCTTTAGATCACCTACCAACAGCTTCCCATTGCACACACTTTGGATATGCTCACCCTAACTCACCCAAGCTCACCCCAGCTCACCTCAACACCTTTCCCACGCGAACTTTCGGTTATAATCAGTTTAGAAAAGATAGTAAATTTATTATCTGTTTCACGCTTATAAAGGCCTGGTTATTAGACTCCTCGGAACTGTAACATAAGACGGATATCCACCATGGCAGCATGACCGTGAAGAATACAAAAACATCTTTCAGATAGTCCAAAGTCAAAGCACCAATAACAAGCTTGTTAAAAAGAAAACTTATTCTTTAAATCCTTTGAATACTGTTACAAGTATGATGCAGATATTTTTATTATGATTCAAGTCAAAAAGAATGGTTAAATCCTTTTCTTTAATTCTAATAACAATTAGCCGCCATCCCTGAAGGAGCTGGTAGATAATTCTTTTATAACAATATTGGAAGCTTTTTTCTGACTAGATCTACATAGGCATCCTATTATCCGAAGCCGAAACAACTCACGTGGGAAGATCTAGCTGCCAGATACACGACGACCGAAGAGTCTCAGAGTGTACTGAGCGCCCGGCCATAAGCCTGGCCAGATTGAAAAAAAAAAGATATGCGAAGGCCCGGAGATGTGAACAGTAGTAATGTTTACAGTTGCACCTCAATTAATAGAGCAGACAATAGAAACTCCGATTTACCATGTTGGCTAGACTTTAAACATGATGATTATGACTTCTTTCTCTCTTTTACATGCCATCGCGTAATCACTTTCAAAATTAGTAGTTAACCTGGATCGGGATAGTGTTAATCGCTATTAAGCTTCGAGAATACTCCAGAATTTTGCTGTAATGGTATATTGCTCATTTGGAACCTTCTCGATCAGATGGTTAAGACCACCCTGACCACTCTGGCCAGTATTAACGTGAAGCTATATGAGAGTGCCCGATCGTTCCGGCTATGCTCTGTTTCCTACCTCGTATATACATATCTGACTCTCTCTAGCCGCCCTCAGTCTACTCCCAAGCATGGTTCGCCGCTCCCTTATATTTATTCATACTTATATACTCTCCAAGGCCTTAATTAAATACCGCATGAAGTTGTTTTGGCTTGTATATCTTAACTCTATACAGATGCTTCCCATGTAATTCTAGCCGTCTTTTTATAGGCTGGTACTTAAGTTTAAAACAATGAAAATCAATGATTAGGGCTTGTCTGAGCTCAGTATTTCACAGAATATTATCCAGCTAAAGATCCTGATATAAAACTCTCAGAGAATAGATCTCCTTTTTAGACCTTATAACCTCACGTGTGATCATTCCATTATTCTTTATTTTATTTATAGGCTCACCATCTCAGGCTATGATAAGCATGTAGCAGATTGCACCAGCTCTATATAGAAAGTAGAATTTGGCTAAATCAATAATTTTCAGGAAAACTGGAACAGCAGATTCCTATACTTGCCAGAGTATACTGTATATCTCTATTTCACGCGAGACCTTGTCCCAAAATCAGAAAGTCATTTCCTTATTAATTACAGTATATTCATATATAGTGCAGATAACTTTAAAGGGCACTCTGGATGTGCTACAGCCCTTTAGAGATATACAGTCACAGTCAATATTTTTATCTAATTACTGTTTAAGTTGCTGAATCAGTATGGCAGTATTGATAAGATATTAGTTACTATTTCTTTCCTGTCAGTGAAGTATAACATTCAGGCAATTATTATCTAGCTGGCCATTCTGCTATAGTATCCGTAAATATTACTAAGTATAAAACTATGTAATATACTGTTAATCTTAACTACTGCTTTAAGTATATTAAGATCCTGCCTGGCGTGCCGATCGTTGGGCGGATAGTGATAAAGAAGATGATGTAACCTGACTAAAACCATACTTTCTTTCTCCTGGAGCTGGATCAGTGTTAAAATCTGAAGAATCATTGTATAGTGTAGATTTCAGCAGTGCACAGCTAGCTTGAGATTAGGTAAGTATTTAACATATATTGGCGGGTGATGGAGCAGGAGATGATGATAGTAAATATTCTGAGACAGTATGTTTAGAGCTTGTATACCCTGAGGCTGTATATTCTGAGCCCGGCGGGTTCTGTCGCAATTCCGATTCAGGGATCTGGAAATATGTATGATCAAAACTCATTATCTACTTTAGCAGCTTCTGTGCAATATTTCGCCACTTCTGGTCATAATATTATAAGCGGAAACTCATGAAGCATAAACACAATACGCAGGCAACAGCTGTTGGTGGTTATTGTAGAAAATCTAAGTTATCCTTCTAGTCCATTACCATATTAGATTTACAGAGATAGTAGTACAAGATGCCTGGTTTATCATAAAAGACCTATAGCAAAACCAATATAAATCCATTAATCAGGTATGAGTACTCGAGCCCTTCCTGAATCATGACATGATACTCCTGGACTACAGCCGAGCCAGTTAGCCATACTGCATTATATCTCAGTTTCTCAGGCACCTCCGTGGGAACAGAGTCCGGTCTGATCATCTCATTCCAGAACAACATTAGTCATAAACCTGCTCAAAGATTCTCCACAGATAGTTTATAAAGCAGCTTGTACTCAACTATTATAATAATCATATTATAATTACCATCAATACAGTATATACAATATTAATCTGGTCAGGAGCGTCAGGAACTTGACAATTTATCTATTTATAACTAATCAGCATTAACTGCATTAAAAGCATTAGTATGGTTATTAAACTAGATTACATTATTCAAGCAAAATTTCTTATAAACAACAGATATCTTGCAGAGCTCTATAATAATATCATAAACATAATCCTCCATATTAAACCACTCATAGCTCTCCAGATCCTGCTCACTACTTATTACTCTCTTACTAAATCATTACCTCAAGTCCTCTAGTACAAGGTGAGGCGAGAATAAACATGGAGCAGGCCAACCAGACAGTACAAGATAGACACAAACAGAGCAATAGATCTTTAACTGCTTAGCTGCACAGTTAGTTCAGTACAGAAGCTACAGCAAACAGCATTTCCCAGTAAGTGCTAATATGTTCCCTGTTATAAAGCAAGACAGACTTTCAGCTTACAAAGATCAAGAAAAATAGATATGACAGAAACAAATAAGCTCAGCAAAGATTATTTATCCTATTTACTCTCTTTCCTAGTCCCTTTCCTGCTCTGCTAGCCGTTAGCATTTCTCTACTTATTTCCTAAGCTCTGCTTCCTGCTGGCGTTCTTCCTCAGCTCTCAAAAAGAGCACTTTATAGTCTGGCAGGCTGCTGTTATCTATTTACCTGATATTCGTTTATCAGAAACTATTAGTTGATTTTGATTAACACTCATCTAGACAGGCATGCGGAGAGGTCGCCGTAACATATCAGCTAACCAAAGAAGTCAATAAAAGTGATTTTCCGGGTAACAATCAGGACAGCTTATGAAATAAGGACTTGGTGAGTGTCTAGAGTACAGGCTAATAATAAATACTATAGTACAGGTTCCAGATGCAGAGCACACCTGCAGGGTATGATTTTTATTAATTATAGTGAATCTCAGTGCTTATAGGAAATCATTTAATAGACCCCAATATCTTGGATAAGGCCCACTGTCAAACCCTAGGATCGCTTCCCTGTTCCTGTTAGCTTAGCTTCACTGGTATACGTACCTTCGAACTGAATCAAGGTAGTGTCAGACTGATGACTATCTAGGAGTGACTGGTCTTGAACAAGAGAAGAGAAGTAAGGCCGAATAATGCCGTGCAGCTATCCATAAGTGAGTGCAGACAAGTATTGTTTGCTAAGCTTTCAAACTTATGGTTACTTAAAGATAATAAGATTGAGCATGAAGAACAGAACTAGCTAAATATATAAAAGAGTATTCTTAAATATCCTATTCTCTGTATACTATACTGTATACTATTCAGGGTTAATCAATAATTAATCTAATCATAATCCAGGATCTCAGTATACCCTGTATATATCTTTAATAGTAGATTCAATGGTAGATAATCATATAATGTAAGACCAG